AAAAAAACAAGATATTATGAATAAAAACTATTGTCATTTTTATAACGTTTCACTACATAGCAAAACAGGATGTTGATGGGTTTATTTGATTGAATAATTTATGATTTCTTAGTAATATTATTATAAATAGACTAAATGACAGTTTTTCATCGGGAACATCGGGAAGACTTGGAGCGACATGAAAGGCGAAGCTCAAGACTGAACGGGTTGGCGGCGTACTGTGGACGCTCTCTGCCCCATCTGGGGGACATAGGATTAGAAAGAAGAGATGTGACAGTTTTTCAATAGCCTCATATTAAAATGTGAAACGCAAAGGAAAATATAACTTGTATATTTATTAATGTAGTTTGAAAAATTAAAAATGACAAATATTACATACTTGTAGTTAAAGTAACCTTAATCTTTAAGTAAATTAAAAAATACAAAAAAAATATCTTTGATATATTTTTCAAACCATCTATATTGAACATAATGGTATAATGTGTTTCGACTCGTCAGATCCCAAGGGCTTTTAAAGAGACCTTTTAACATCAAGTACATCGATTTTCAGTTTTAGAAATCGAATATTCGACTAAACTTATTGACTTTGTCAATATTTAATATAACTTAATGATACACAGAAATAGCAGACTTCATTTTAATCTGGCTTTAAAATCTAAAAGAAATTTCGAGAGACGTGACGTACAAACTCATTTTTGTCTAGAAATTTGTGTACACAAAACAAATAAAATAATATTAATGCAATATATCTAATACCGGACTGATAGTTTGAAGATAAACCAAAATAAAAAAACAAGCTTCTACAAGTCTCACGGATAATATATTCATAATATACGATATATGCGTAAAGAATAAAAAATGGAAATATATTAATGCCATACAATAATACAAAACAACATTAATATGTTGTTATGTTTTGTTTTATTAATATAAAAAATCTAAATTGACACATTGACACATCACATGAAAAATAACGTTACCAGAAATGGCTTATAATAACATACATTAAACATTAAATTGAATTATTATTAATAGGACTTTCAATTCGGTTCATTAGTAAATACTAAAATGAAAATAGGCCATAGAGACACATATGACCTTCATGTTCAATTTATTTTAAATCAGGCATAAGCTTCAATCAAACATAGAAGTGATAAGACCCCTAAAATTACAAGCTTAATGGGATATTAGTTGCCAATGTATTAAATATTTAACTAGGCATATATTTGCTCTGAAAATTTTGCGATCCGATCACTAGGACGGAAAATTTTAAGCTTAAACGATTGGCAAAGTTTAATCATAAAAACCATTTTCATTTAGCAAAACTTTCAACAATTAATTGATTAGTTTCGAAAGTAAATATGATATATTTTACTTTCAATAATTATTCGTATATTTCAATTCAAGTTATGGACGTCAGCGTGTAATTTAATTTGAAATATTTTATAATAATTACGTATATTTATTTGTATGAAAAAAGTGCTATGTATTCGAATATTGACGAGTAAATATAAGTAATTTGATATTTGGATAAAATATACATAGGTAAAACTTGAATTCATTAAACAAAGAAGTCTTCACAACCATATTAAGAACCAATTATATCTCATCTCTGAATAAAAGGTCCATTATTAAAATGAGTAGTAAATATCTAAATCCTGAGATCAACTTCCTAGTATAAAGGCATCACAGATTACAGTGACCTCAAAGATTACCCATTTATCACTTTCATTTATATTCCTTGATACTAACCCTATTTACTACACAATATTGTACCTTACGTGATAATCGTTTAACATTTGCTTTATATAAAAAAAAATCAAATACTATTTATTCAATAAAAACCTTTACAGTATTTTAAAATAAAAGAAGTACTTTTAATGGATGTGTAGTAACACTATATAGACTATAAATTTTGCTTATTCAAATCTTTCAAACGTTTTAAGCTAAAAATTGCAACCAACTGTGAAGAAGTAAAATAAATTTGAAGAATTGGTAATAATGTTACCGATTTAAGTCAAGTTTGATCATTATATCAGTCAGATTATAATTGTTCTTTTAAAATTTCCTTTCAATTGTTTTTATATGTGCAATATAAACTAAAAACATTGCTATGTTATTAAAATCTAGGTTCCGAATGCTCAAAAGATTAAAACAAAATCTTTTTCCTCCTTACAATTTTCCCTTGCACAAACGAAACAGAATGACACATCAGCAATAAAAACAATGACAGAGAGGCAGGAAGATTACGAAGACATAAAAGTATGATTGAAGTATTGCCGTTAAATCTATTTCATCATCATTACCAGAATGTATTATATTACCTTCTATTAATACTTACTAGTAAGTAAACAAATCGTTAGAAAAAAAATTAAAAGAACAACGCGATGAACAAGATTTAATTAGTTATATCAACTTGAAAATGATTAAATTGGTAAAAAAATTAATCAAGAATTAAACTCTCGTGAACAAAATTTCAAAACACCAACGCTACATTTAGATCTTTCAGTGTTCCCAGATTTACCGCTACCTTCTAATTAACTTTCTCATTTTTCCAATAACTATTAATCCAGCACCAATTATTTCATCAAGATCTATTCGACTACTAAACGATTGTATACAGCAGGATAATGATATTGCTTATTACTTTCATTCAACATTTCCGAGAATATTAAATAATTAGTACCGACTTTCTAGTCTTCATAATATAACAGCTTATTGCTGTAAAGCGTAAATAATTAATCCATCATTTCATACATTGATAACAACATTTTTTACTATTTAAAAAAAAAAATTCACATAGTTTCCTTTGATTAAGTTTATGGTTAGTTATATATGATAGCTGTTTTGTTTGATTACAATTTACATATGACTTTAATCAGCTGACCCGTCTTGTCTTGTTCAAAATAAACTCGCCAGATGGCGTGACTCCAACCCTCGGTAACAGGAGTGGGACGAATTTGAGAATAATTAACCCTGTACTACCAATTCACGTCGATGTTTTATTAATTATCTCTCTAACTCAAACAGTCCTCTGGACGAGATAATATTGAATAAACATTTATACGCTTAGGATTTTCGGATATATTTCCGTTTTTTTTGTCAAGGATTTGTAACTGATATTAATTATAAATTAAAAATGATATTTCAGACAAATAACAAGATCAATTAATTGAGATTTTCATCTCGTCTGTCCGTGACCATGGTTGCTGTAAAGTAACTGAAACGTCGGGAGTATGAATATTAAAAATTAAAAACACGTAGACAATCTGAAACACTTTTTTTAATGAATATCTATGTCAGTGTTTGAGTCTTTGAAAGAAAAGATATTGTTTTCAATCAGCGTATAATTTTTCAAACAAAAAATAAAATATCAGTTGTAATATATGATGAAAATATAGACGAAGAAATGAAAATAAAATATACTATTTAATAAAACACACCTTCATAATAAATACATAGCTGTCCGACCGTATCATCCATGAAATTTTCAATCGATCTCTAATGTTGGAATCTTACCAAGTCAGCTAACCCGATGGGTCTTAGTTAACATGAGAACAAAAATGGCGAATCGCCAGCAGTGGAGGGCACTCTAAACTATTGAAGAATAGTTGACTGTCAAGGAATAGAAAATTACATCAGATAACAAGTTTAAAACGATAAGCATTTTTAAAGTGAAACTATTAAGCCGGTTGAATAAAATTTATGCAAATAAAAACATTATTATCCGATAAGCATAACTATTTCAGTGCAATGCTATGCTAATTCAATAGGAGATTACTTAGCATGACTTATAATTGTGTGGCAAATACAAGTTTGTGCTTTTTTTAATTTATTTGCATAAGCTGGTTATATTAAAAGAATAAAAAATATACATAATAATAATTAATTACTTCGAATCTTTTCTTAATATATACTTATACAAGTGTACAATTTTTGACTTAAAATGATGTGAGAATCGACGAATTTTTATCTGTAATGAATTGACAATTTGGGTCGTAAAAAATAAACTCAAATTCAGACTTCATCAATGTTTTTAAGAGAAACATTCTATAAAAGATTTTTCGCATGCAACTTGGGTCGAGAAAGAGCAAAGTGTATATAAAACAAAGATATATTATATCAATTATTACATTTAAAGAACTCGTATTTATTACTAGTTTTACAAGTTATTCTTATTGAATAAGTAGGAATACACAGATTGCATCGTAGTCACGACTCACTCTTCACGATGAATAATTTGAGATTGCAAAAGAAATATTTTAAGATTAAAAACTACAATGTATATTCATGTTGAGATGTTGTCTTTCGACCACGACATTAATGAATGTAGAATTTTGGGACAAAGGTAAGCTGCGACTACGTTGAATATATGAATGTAAGAAAAAAATATCTACAAAATATAGTAGATTTTTATTCATAAAATATATATTTTTTCTATTACGGCCCTCACACTCAATTTGTGGAATCTTTCGAAAATATCAAAGTTTTCTTAAAAACGAACTGTAATTTTGAATGCTGTTTGGATAAAAACGAAGGAGTTTGCAAAAATATGGAATAAGGGCTTTTTATAAGACTTAGTTATATTTGCACTAATACCTAGAATAACAAGAACTATATAAGAACAATCTTAAATAAAAGTCTCTTATTAAAATTAAAGAACTTTCCCTGACTGGTTTTGTCATTTTGTTTTGCGATGGATGGCAATAGAAAAAACTATTCCCTCAAGTAATATGCCAACATTTTACAAGTAACAACTCTCATTAAACCTCCATAGTAAACTTTGCACAAGCTAATATTTCCTACGCCCCAATAAAGGCAAGTGTATCTTAGATAATATTTTATCGAAGAGAGATATTAATATTCCTTCTTTATTGTGTAAAATCAATAACTTCGGTAGGATTGTAAGTTTATTGCTAGTAGTTGCAACTAGAATAGTTTACGATGAAATGTCTTGAATGTCTTTATTTCTATATTCGCGTATTTTAAAGCGCGTTGTGATGATAGAGCTTACGGTGCCTTGGGAAACCAACATCCCCAAAGACCATGCCACCAAGGTCAATAAGTATTACGAGCTCACTAACGAACTAACTCGAAATAGGTTCGTCGTTGATTTGTACGCGGTAGAGGTGGGAGCGAGAGGTATAACAGCTAAATCTCTCTATAACCTACTAAAAGACTTGGGCCTGTCCAGAACTAACATTAATTCATTCTTAGAACGTACGTCGAAGGCAGCCCTAGTAGGTTCTTTTCAAATTTGGTTAGGTAGGGAGAGGAACTTGGACAGTGGAGGTGAGCGTATAACGCGCGTTAGTTAAGGGGCCCCTTAAACCTACACCTGGGTCGCAAGTCCCAGGCACTGTTGAAGCTCCTCTCCCTGCAACGCAATGGACCCCGGCACCCGCACGGTGAATCCATTGAATGCTAAGAGGTTTCGTCTCATATAAAACGACTGCCCGGAGAGTCGGGCTGACTCTGGAAAGACAGATGACTGCCGGAAAGACGGATGACTGCCGGAAAGACGGATGACTGCTGGAAAGACAGCCGAGGGCAACGGCCTAGCAAGCCCAGCCCGGGATTTATTAAGCTAAAAGTCCTATAAAGAAAAATACCCCTGGGACAGTCCGAGAGGGGGGGCGGAAGATCTGTCCACCGGTCGATTTAAACGGCGAAAACGGCGCGAATACGGACTTGAAATGCCCTACGTGCGGGAAAAAATTACAAGAGACGAGCCTGGTACATTAAACACCTAAAAACACATAATGGTGTTGAAGCGCGACAATCGTTGGTAAGTTCTTCAATTATCACTTCGGATAGAGTTGACCCTCACGTATCCCATGGTGAACCATTAACTGGAAACCACCAGGAGTCCATTAACATCCGGACACGTCTTAGCATTCCTAACATGAAACAATCGACTTGGAAAGTTCACGACGACAATTTAGCGGTCCTGTTAGAGCATCCGGGCTCGAAGCAGGAATTGAACTCGCAGGTAGAAACTTTCCAAAATACCGTTTATGACTACTTCAACGAGCAATATCCACCACGTAATCATTACGCTCGCAAAATAAAGAAAATTCGTTCAAGATAAAAATGAGGAAGAAAAAACGGGAATTAATAAAAAATCTACGTATAGCCAAAGCTCTAGGCGACAACCACCTTAGTCATCAGCTAGCTAGGGCGTTAAGGTCAATCCTTAAATTAATTCAAGGAATATCGGCACAAACTGCAGAATATCGCGGTAATTTTGACCGGGCCAAACAGGAAGTAGATTTTGATAAAAACCCTTTTGAGTATTCGAAAACCATTTTTAAGAAAGAACGCGGACAGCTTCTCTTGACCAACGATCAAATTTACGACCATTTCAAGAGCACATACGAAGTGCCTAAAAGTGTAAGGCTCTATACGGATCCAAACGAACAAAAACCGGAAATTCCTCATATCGATTTTCACGGCATACCACCAACGTTAGACGAAATAAGTAGTCACATAAAGAGGAAATCATCTAAATCTGCACCGGGCCCCGATGGTATCCCATATATAGTCTTTAAAAAATGTCCATCGGTTCGTAAACACCTCATAAATATATACGGCAAAATCTGGTCAAGGAAGCAAATCCCGGAGTGTTTCGGGAAAGCAATTTTTGTCCTCATTCCCAAAAAAGATCGAGTTACCGATCCGAGGGATACTAGACCGATAGCCTTAACAAATACAATTTCTAAAATCTTTTTCTCGGTCCTACAAACGAGAATGACGCGATTCATGCTCAGCAACAAGTATTTTAGGCCAAATCACCAGAAAGGGTTTCTACCCGGGATTTCTGGATGCCTAGAACACAACACCTTGCTGTCGGAGAGTTTGAAAGATGCTAGAAAAAGCGAGCGGCAAATTACAGTTTGTTGGATAGACTTAGAGAACGCGTTCGGGTCGATACAACACGAGTTGATGCTATTCGCGCTTAGATGGTACAACTTTCCACCCCTAGTTAGAGATATGATCGCGTCGTATTACTCAAAATTAAGGTTTTCTATAATAACTAAAGAAGGCCCTTCAAAAAGTTTGAGTTATAATGTAGGACTGTTTCAAGGTTGTTGTCTATCTCCAATTACGTTTAATATCGTTATTAACATCTTAGTAGACAAATTAATCTGTAACGAGAAAAAATGGGGTTATCGGTTTAAGTTTAATAATAAATACACGGAATCCATTTTAGCCTTCGCTGACGATCTCGCAATACTGACACGTCACCCCAAACACTGTCAAGTACTATTGGATGAAGTGGATAAATTCTGTGAGTGGACGGATGGATTGAGGACAAAACCAAGTAAATGTCACTGTTTGTGTCTTGGTAGGCGGAATACAAGATACACCTCATACGATCCGGGACTATCGATAGGCGGTCAATGCGTTTCTACGGTTACGGAAGATGCACCATTCAAGTTTCTCGGTCGTAAGATTGATAATATAGGTCGTACTCCATCTTTAGAAGGAATAGTAGATAGCTTTTTAAATGATCTTAACAAGGTAGATAGCCAGCAGATCAGTAACGTAAAAAAAAGCATGGATCTACGATAATTACTTAACTTCACGTTTGAATTGGCCTTTCCTCGTCTATGATTTTAGTAAAACCCTTTTATCTAAATTAGATGCAGGCGTCATAAAGATGTTGAAGTTGTGGCTCGGGCTCGCGCTAACGGCTGACTCATCGGCTTTATTCAGGGATCGTAATAGTTTTGGGATGAATCTAAAAAGACCATCGGAGCTCTACAAACACCTAAGAGTTTCCAAGAGACATATCCTGGGAAAATCCCATGATGACGTCGTTACATCACTCCCAAAAGACAATGATGCCCCAGAGCTAGAGTCACGACTTCAATTCCATAAACAATTTATGATCGGAGCGCAAAATAACAGAGTAGGGTTAGGATCAAGTAGGAAAGTCCAAGATACGGATATATTGAAGTCTTTTATTCGGCAAGACGAGAACGATAAATACAAGATCCATGCAATGAGTTTAGAAATGCAGAACGAGTGGTTAGACATAGGAGATTTTTGCATTCCACTAGCACTAAAATGGCGCACCCTAATTCATGACTGGTCGCCAGCCTTGCTAAAATTTTATCTCAATGCGTTCCAGATGACTCTCCCAGATCAGAGTAATTTAGTAAGATGGGGTAAAGGTACCGAAAAAACTTGCTATATCTGCGGAAAGGCAGTTGGAACTGCCAAGCATTTGCTGGTGGGATGTAAGGTTCTCCTGGACAGCGGTCAATACTCGCGTCGTCACGATAGGGTTTTAGAGATCATACGTGAAGCGGTTAGTCTTTCGGTAGCCAGAGCGCAAAGGGAAATAACCACAAACGAGCGATCAATAGGTTTTGTGAGAGAGGGCACCAGGGCTATAAAATCAAACGTCAAGCCTTACTCTATCCTTAAAGCGGCTTCGGATTGGACTATCATGATGGATACGTATGAGAAACAATACAAAATCCCCGAGGATATTTGTGCGTCGGCCTCCAGACCAGACATATTTCTATATTCGCGTATTTTAAAGCGCGTTGTGATGATAGAGCTTACGGTGCCTTGGGAAACCAACATCCCCAAAGACCATGCCACCAAGGTCAATAAGTATTACGAGCTCACTAACGAACTAACTCGAAATAGGTTCGTCGTTGATTTGTACGCGGTAGAGGTGGGAGCGAGAGGTATAACAGCTAAATCTCTCTATAACCTACTAAAAGACTTGGGCCTGTCCAGAACTAACATTAATTCATTCTTAGAACGTACGTCGAAGGCAGCCCTAGTAGGTTCTTTTCAAATTTGGTTAGGTAGGGAGAGGAACTTGGACAGTGGAGGTGAGCGTATAACGCGCGTTAGTTAAGGGGCCCCTTAAACCTACACCTGGGTCGCAAGTCCCAGGCACTGTTGAAGCTCCTCTCCCTGCAACGCAATGGACCCGGCACCCGCACGGTGAATCCATTGAATGCTAAGAGGTTTCGTCTCTTCTAGTAATAGAATAAGTTTATCTTCTGATCTTGAATTTAACCGTTGCGAACGTTATTTCGTATACGTTTTCCAAAGAAAAGTACTTTGTTACTTTAAATTCAGGAATAACTATACTAATATTTCATTAAATTTACCGTATCAAGTCTCAAATAGTAGTTTTGTTGTATAACCCTTTACTAAGTACATAAGTTATAAATAATGGTAATTTCGCGAAAGTTAAATAATAGACTGCCGTTTGTGTAATGAAGATTGCCCCAGCATCTTCTTACGTATCATAAATATCAGGCAATAAACTTATTATCACAAGCTATATTGAAGATCATGTAACACAATTCCTATTAAATTTAAATTTGTTTTTAATTAAATATTTAAACTTAATTAAATTTAAACAACACAACATATTGTAAACAAGATTCGGCTCTTGGCTTCTTCCATACAACTATGTTATTTTCATTCTACAATTTAAATACCCTTATGAAGTTTAGACAGAGATACTTTTAATATACGTAAAGTTGTAAGTTTTATAAAAAATCATTAATATTCAATGAAGCCAGCCTAGTGCCAGTAAAATAATTCAATGGTCACAAATATTACAGTAACATGAAGCCTTAGGGTCAGTAGAAAAATAAACAAAAGATTACATTTTTTACATATATACATATATTGTCTCATTATCAGTATTGTGGGCGGAGTCCAGACAAGACATTTATGATGATCGCGAATTTTAAATCACGCTATGTTAATACATAGTTTACGGTTCTTTGAGTAACCAACAGCCTCAAAGACCATGCCACCAAGGTGAATTAGTATTACGAGCTCACTAACCAAATAACTATGAATAGGCTCATAGTAAAATTGAACGCGATGGAAGTCGTGGTAAAAGGAATTACAGCTAAATACTGCTAAAAAACTTGGGCCTATCCCTGACCCGGCACTCGCATGGTGAATGCTGAGAAGTTTCGTCTCATCGCAGAATAAAGTCTTGAAATTACTATTTCTGTGGACTTTGACAGACATATATATCAGTAAGTATATAGTTTTCTTTGTTCTCTACGTACATACATACACGCACACACACATACTCATATATGGAACTAAATAGACAACGAAAACTAGATATTCCAACAATATCATCAAGTGCTTATTTAAAGAACCTAAGCAAAGATTTTTAAGTAAACATTATCGGCAGATTTAAAAGGAACCTTAACAATATTTGAACTGGAGTATATTCTTTTGACCTAATCGGACTAATGTAGATTGAACACTTTTGTTAACATTGTATTGCATCATTGAAGTGGTTAAATGCGAAAGACTTTTTTTTATTAGTGTTTCAAGTTATTTCAGTCATTTTTTTATATATGTAAAACAAATAGTAAGGATATATAAGGCACAAAGGTTATTTAAATTCAATCGAAATAAGATTTTTATATAAATAATAAGTATAAGGTATGTACGACAATTTATAAAGTAATATGAATGGAGACAATCACGCTAATTTCGTCGTGCTTACTTATAAAAAATTTTAGTTCCGTTATCGTCACTTTACAAAAAAATCTCCTATGTTAAATATATCATTATTACAGATTCAAATGTTAATTTGAAAACCATATAAATTATAAAATAACGGATACTTTAACGACATTGCTTCGTCCGTAACAATATCCAGTTGTATTATGTAGCATTTTCGGAAATAACGTTCCCTTGCTAATTCGGCTCTTTATATTTTATAAATGAAACAACCTCTACCTAATTCGCTAAATTGACTCCGCTGGAATTATTTTATTATTTTTGATGAAAGGCCTTTGTTTAACATTCAACGAATGAATTACATCTGCTTTTATTTTAATACAATAATACCCGGGGACGTCTGTCGAAAAAAAAAATTATACAAACGGCAGCCGAATCATTGGACGTATGGAGGATGAATGTTCGAGCTTTTTTTGTATGTCACCATAATATTATTTCAATAAAAATATGATAAGTAGAGTTATCATAAACAAAGAAAAACTTTCAAGAAATGATTAATATTGATACAAAAAATACATAACTTCAAAACCGTAGAAGGTTTGAGATAAGGTGTGAAACCATTAATAAAAGAAACGCCTTTGTTCTAAACCTTAATTGGATTCCAGCCCTGGCTTACTTTGAATCTCTTTGAGGTAGTACTATACCTTTATCTGACTTTTCAATTCTTGGAAGAAATCGGTCAAAAGAATGTGAATATCAATTCTTATATGTACTTCTCTGAATAAATTTAATTCGAGCAACAAAAGCGTTATCTGAAACTGACTTTTATTCAAGAACAATACGTAAATTTCAAACTAAATGCGAACTGCTAAGATTAAACTGAGAATGCGACGATTTAACGAACCAACGACGGATGAAACCTTAACAAAATCGCAACTTCTGTGAGAATTATAAACTCAAAAAATTTATTTCTCTTTAAAAATATTACGAGCTACTGTTTTAAATTTTTTATGCCTTTATTAAAATATGTACTAGAGGAAGCCTTTCATACCAATTACATATTTAGATATCGTTTTATACAAAATAAATTATTATATTTAAAATCATATATTAACTCTAATTTTTTTTTGTATTTATTAAGCATCAATTATCTTCTTTTCAATGAATATTAATTTTTATACCGTAACTTTGAAAGTCAATACTTTGTCAATCATCAGTTCCGTTGGTAAAATTTTTCACCTACAAATAACAATCTTAACACATTTTCAGTCTTTTATTTTCTTGTATCATAACAGCTGTACATATTATCAAAATAAACTACAAAAACAGCACACAAATTATATTAATTCCTTAAAAGGCTGTATATATACACTGAAACAGTAAGTCTCGGGACCTGAAAAAAAGATTTACGGTGTCTTTCTTGTAAAAATATTTATAATTTACACACGAATACATTTTTATATTGGGTCCGGAATACGGATTTCCGTAGATCCGGACTCCCTTAGGTGCTGTGATCACTTATATTTATGGCACACTTTTGTATATTAGGGTGCAATTTATACGGTAAGGATAATTTGAAGCTGTACGAGATATTTTAAGATTTTGTTTCTATCACTGTATTTTTAATACCAACATTTCAAATGCTTTGATAGCAGTATTGAGTAGGTATAGAATATAGTAGAGTCTTTATCATACTATTAGTAGTTATTTAGGAATTAAAACAATTAGCCAAAACTTTATACATCATGTAAGGCAGACCCTGGCTAAACCTGGAAAATTAGCAGAAAGAATAAGAAGTAGTTATTCAGGAATATCTAGAACCTATTACAGTACACAGACACTTAAGTTAGTCTAGACTAAACCGGAATAATAAAAAGATGTGCTACACAGTGAAATTTTATCCTGGATGACCGACAAAATTATACACTGCTAATAATTCCGAATAGATAGTCATTTCAAGCGAATAATGCTTTTATAGAAGCAGATTCATTTTTGCGTTCTAAACAAGAAATTTCAGATAAATGTCAAAAGTTTTCAACATGTATTACTGTGAAATTGATGTTAAAATCATTTTCTGTGTAAGCTATAGTTAAAAAAATAAAAAGTCATCATTTTAAATTATATATTACTTTTGTATATTCCAAAAAACCTTTTGTATGAAAGAAATGACTCAAATTATTATCGAGCATTCGTTAAGTAATTATGTCGTATTTTTACTTCACTCACAAAGTCGCTATTGTTGAAAATATTAGCGGCTATTTTCGTTCCGCTTATCACGATTAGCTGTTTTAAGAACTTGAATGAAGTTAAAATTGAAATTACTGATTTTGAAATACAACTTTTATTCAGTTTAATAGCCACGAATATAGTGATTTAATTTGGTCCTCTTCTTCCATTAGGAAATCATTAACACTTGTAAAGATTCTACAGTTGCCCTAGTATTAAGAAACTATCTCACTCTTATAAGTTATCTCAATGACACCGAATTGGCCACTTGTGAGTATTCTATCCTTCCGGCTGATCTCTTTCTTTCATATGACAGTTTACGTGGGAGTGAATGAGATATGAATATCTTTATACCAAATGAAGCGGTATTTACTTTGTAACTTGATAGTCGTGTGTGGGCCCGATGATGTAGGGATATACTTTTTACATTGATAACTCCATACAAATGTTGGATAAATTATGACATAGATATGTAACAGATATTTGTTATTGAAGAATATTAATATTGAAGTAAATGTTTACCTTAAGGTAAAGCTTTACAATTTGATTGTTTTTTTTTGGTAAAGAGAATTGGCGTAATTATAATTAGCAACTGTATCTACATTCAGAAATTGTGACATATGATTATGTTTTGTAGCATTTTACAAAAGCTTCTCTACGTGTTAATTCATGATATTTATTAGGTCTAATCTTCTTATAAATAATTTGATACCATCTAAATGGCGGCTTTAAGCAACGATGAGGATAAAATAAAGTTCGAAGCTGATTCAAAAGAGTAATTGGTTATTAAAAAATCTTTTACTTAGGATATAAAAGGTTATTTAAAATTGACTGCAAACTCGACTTTTAATAATATGTATATTTATTCAGAAAAAGTACTAATGGCTAGGGAATGTACTATTATTGAAGCCCCAAGAAAAAGCTTCTAGATCAAATTCTCATATATTTAGGAGACAAAAGTTGTAGTTGTCACTAGTTGTAGGTAATATCGTAAACAATATAAATTTTAATTATAAACGAAATTTTCAATAATAATTTCAACAGCATTTTAGGTTCAGTCAGGTAGTGTACCGACACAGAAATAGGGTTGGGTCGTGTCTCCATTTAAACTAACTCTATTAAGTTATTAGAATTAAAAAGTCCTTTTTGCTACTAGTTATTATTAATATTATATGAATTCAA